TTATCACCGCTCTCTGAAGGTACAAGGAACGTTCCACGGTCGAACGAGGTTGGCCGAATTTTTGTTTCGGATGCTGCAACGCGAAATCATCTCGCTCTAGTTTATCGGGAAAAGAAGGAAATAAAAAAAAGGAAAAAAGAGAGAGAGAAAAAAAGAAAAAAGGGAAAACAATGTTTTGTCACCGGTCACTCGATATCATTCGGAGCTTGTCGACTTGTCCCCGATATTTTTCGTTGAAAATTCAAAACGAACCGTCGCGGCGTGTCGTGACTGTACATCGCGGAACGTTGCCTCGAATGACAGACAGCGTAATAACCTGGCCGGAAGGAAGGTTTTTCGGGGAAACTGGGAGACGACCCTGAAGCGAGCAGCGAATTTTGGTGACGTTTAATATTCGCGTCGACACTCCTCTGTTCTTGACCAGCAAGAGTTCCGGCATTTGGGATACTTTGATGGGCCGCTATGTGACAGGTATAGAGACAGAACGGAGTATTTGTTTCTCGAATTTATAACTTTCACGGTTTATCAACTGTTTATTGATTTCAACCATTCGCGCTCTACTCACGCCGCTATAGGAACGGTAATATTTTCATCGATGGCAATAAGAGTGTTACAAAAATTAATTCACCGATAAAACTGCTGTTCGGGGTTAATACCTTGCCTTCATTTGCATATCGATAAAGAAAAAAAGAAAAAAACGCGGGGCACTTTTTTGCAGTATTTCGTTCGTGAATGAAGACCTTGTTACGAATCAAGAGGTGTCATTAAGGAGAGTTTTCTGTATTCCACGAGTAACTATGAACAAACCTATTCTCGAGGAATCTCCGGTAACTATCTTTGGCGTTCCACGCCAAAGATCGAGATATGGCGTGGGATACATGGAGTCATCTGCCTGGGAGTATCCAGACATTGCAGACAGTTACGCCTCCAGGAAGATTGGTTCAAAGGAACACTCGATTAGACTCCATATTTCTATAATAGTTGCCCTAAGATCCACTGCTATTCGAATTTGCGAGGTTAAGCGCATTCTCCATTAAGCACGAGCACATCGCCGAACACGACGTAGCAATTGACTCTCCTGCGATAAAGGACATCAATCACGGTGCAAGTGCCCTTTTCCCGGCATATAAAATTTCCTCAGCCGTCATTAAATTTCCGCTGTAGGCGTAGATAGGCACGACGGTGGAGCCACCTACGCGGTCCGTTTAACCCTGCTGTCCTTCCCGGGTCAATATAACTCCAAATGAAAATTACACGGTGTTCCCACGAACGCTATATTTTTAACCCTTCGATCTTCGTAATTTTTAGAATTTTAGAATTTTATCGTATCGTTATATGACGACCATCGAGGTTCCATCCGCGACCACCGACAGCCACGGAAAAGCAATTTTGAAAACAAAATAATAGCAGGGACTACGGAGCAATTAGCCCTCGTGTATCAACAAAGGAATCCGAGCGATTTGCCGAAAAGCGTACAAACCGACTGGCAAACATGAACGACACCCGTTCTATCAACACGAACGCTCAACTATTGACAGAAACAAGTCACGTAACTCGAGGGTACACGTTCCCGTCGAATTACCAGTTCTCAATGAACGTTTCGACGTCACAAAGAGAGAGGGAGCCGGGGTTAAATGGAGAGCAGGAGAGACGGTCTAATTTTAAGCGACTCACACCGGTCCCCTCGCAAACGAATGAGAACGAGGTCTGCCGCGTTTCGCAGCGGCGAACGCTTGGATTCGAGCCTAATGGCCCGTTGACCTTTCAGCACCTGTTGATTGTCGTTTATCAACGATTTGCATGCGCAGATTTGCCGGGATCACCTGACTGCTGGGCGAAACGAAAGGGTTGTCCTCGAGGGGCGCGTTGATCGACGTAGCAATCCCTCTAGAATCGTGATGCATCGTTGTCCCCGTGGTGGCGTGGCTCGGCTCGAATTTATTGATTTTCGATTCGCGTCCGCTGCTTCTCTCCCGCCCCTGTCTCTTTCGCTTCCACCCTGGCCGAGTTTCCTCTTCGTTATTAGCAAATTGGAGTGCGCGACGAGCGGCGGAAAAGTTGCCGGAATTTTCGCCGGCCGCCGATAACGATCGGCCTGCGAACGAGGTATTCCGATTGAAACGCGACCACGGTGGCCTTGAAACAGCCTGGACCACGAGCAGATGCTAATCGACGACGAGTGGCGGTCGTTGAATTACGAATCGAGAGGTTCGCGAAGAGGGGCGAGGGATGCCGAGGACGATTAATGGGTTCATGGCTGGATACGAAGGGATTAATCTCTTCCTTTGATCGGGATTCTAGGTGCTTCCAGAATTGACTCGGTGATTCCCTTTGGTAATAAGCAGGGTAGACCAGACGAGGGTTGTCCTATTTCTTCGGGACCGCGATTTCTGTCACACTTTCCGCGCGGACTTTCGTTTTCCGACGCTCAAAAAAAAACGCTCTTCTAGGCCAGCCAAGTTACGTTCTTCGAATTCCGTTGCAAGTTCTTCGAACGCTCGGTATTGATTATCGCGAACGGCAAGGATGTTGGAATAGTAAGGATGTCTGCTGGAATACTTCGAGCGCGTAATTAGAATAATCGCGAGGACTCGGTGTGATACGAGCTAGACTCGAGGAAGGAAGAAACCTTGCTCGAGATTTCGAACGGAATCGGTGCCAACGAGGGGTGTCGTGCGGGTGTGAAACGCGAAATATGTCCGAGAGGTGTAAGCTTGAAATATGCGAACGGGGGAATTCGATGCGAATGTTTATAGCGAGTGGCTGGATTCGGAGATGCGTAGAAGGACCGAAAGCTCGAGATTAGGGTGTGAAAAGAGAAAATGGCTGCCCGGGGTTGGTGTGGGCGTAATCGGGCACGGCCTGGAATTTTTTTAGTCGTTTGTCTGGGCTGGATAAAAGAGACTGTAAAATAAGAATAGAGAAAACACGCAGGTGTTGGTGTATACGTATATACACGTGTAGAACGTATGTGTGTACGTCTTAAGGGAGATTGTGCGTGGGATGAACGTCGAATGGAATTGAGAGTGAAAGTTACTTTGTGTCGTGGTAATTTTCCATAGTACAGTCATTTCGCGTATAGCTCTCTATCCTTCTATCGACTATCGCGAGCTTTTCGTTTGAGGAAGAATTTCGTGCTCGTTTAAGAAAGGAAGCTATGCTTACGAAAATTAAATTAAGAAGCTAAATAATGGTTTGCGAATTTTCGCGATATATTTCCTTTCTGCCGTCGAGTGATATATCGAGCTTTCTCATATCTCTCAGTTATATCGCGCTTCCTCTCGTTCCAGAATTTTATAGCAACGCTTTTTTCTACAGCTTTACATTTTCATCAGAGCCGGAGATAGTTGCGCAATAAGTTCCCTAGAAATAGTTCCCATCGTTCCCCGCTATTTCGTATCTTCGCGGAGATCAGTGCAATAAACTGCAACTGTTGGTGCTGCAAAACGTAGAGTGGCAAAAGCTTGAAGCATTCCACGCGATGATGCTAAGCCAGTATCGCGCAACAAATTGGCCGTAAAATGCAGAACGCGGACCCCGTGCCAAGGCTGGAATCCAGTCGGAAAAAGCCCTGAAATACGAACGCGTCCTCCGTCACCCTGGCGACCTAGCTACACTCTCCGCGAAACCGTCGTAATTCGTTTTATCGATACGAACCGGAAAGGTTGCTAGAGCGAAGAACGAGATTCCACCGTCCACCGTTATCCCAATGACGAATTATATCTCATAAAACACGAGAGTCGATGCACCGCGAACGTTTCCCGCGATATTTCGAGAATTTTACGGTGGTTATTTCGTTGCCGTCATTTTTTGCGCCCTTTTTGCACGTTTTGGCTCGAGAAAGGAATATTAACGCAATTTCCGACAGACAAGTCCCAATTTTCTTCCCACAAAGTTTTACCCCCCATCCCATCACCCACCCCTTTCGCAGTTCTCGTCGCGAAACGCGTGCTTCGATTTTGGACCCTTTTTGCACCTTTCGTGCGCCCTTTTTGCACCTTTTGGCTCGAGAAAGGAATCTTAACGCAATTTCCGACGAACAAGACCCAATTTTCTTCCCGCAAAGTTTTACCCCCCACCCCATCACCTACCCCTTGCGCAGTTCTCGTCGCGAAACGCGTGCTTCGATTTTGCAAATGGGAATTCGACTGTTCCTCGGAAAGCAGAATACAGTTCTGTTCTCCGAGTTCCACCCTGTAAGACGACTTTCGATCTTCGCGATGCACTTGACCTTGGGGGTGAAATATCGTTTGCATTCTCAGCGCCATTTACCCGGCCACGAATTCTCCCTCGGGTCGAGTTGAAAAATAACGCGGCTGTTTTATTATTTACTCTATCGAGCGGTTCGACAAGTCGGTTATATCGTGTGTCGCGGGAACACGATCACAGGGTATAGCGTCGGTGTGGGCTGATAGCGAAGGAAGGAAAAACCGAGGAAACAACCGCGACGAGTACAAATGAAGTAACTTATCTATGCCCGCCACTCGTGTCGCGATGATACAATACAAAAGTGTCGGTATGGCATCTCTGTTGGTGCAGGAATAATCGAATTGCGCGTGTAATAATATCACTGATTACCCGTGAAGATCAGTGGTGAAGTAGATGTATCGTATACCGCGTGAATCTTCGTTTGCCGGTGTTAACTTTCCCCATACGTGTTCGTAGGGGTCGGCTTTAATTTTCGAGACGTTAGCAAAAATCTTTCGGCACTGTTACATCGAATTTTGCACGTGTCTGCATCCGTGAAACAATTACAGGGACACCTGGCACACTGGTACAGCTGTGCCTGCCTCGCACGCGCACGGAAATTCGCGCGAGTAAGCAGAATTTGATGTAAAGGTAGGAAGGTATCGTTGAACCCGTAGATAATAAGAACGCGACGAAAGACGGATAGAAATGAAAGGAGAAAATGATCCCCTGTGTCGACTTGGATTTTAATTACATCTAAGGTTGGTCCCGACGATGGTTACCGTAACGGAAAATTGAATTTCTGTCAACAGTTGTTCATGATCGATAACTGCGCGGACGATTGGCGGATCGCGATGACCTGGCAGAGGATCGCGCAGATTTCGATCGAGTTGTTAATCTGCGCGATCCACCCGATCCCAGGGGAGTACTACTTCCTTTGGACGACCAAGCTGGCGAACAAGGGCGGTAACAGCGGCTCGAAATGGGTGCCGTACGACGTCACCCTGTCGCTGCCGATGTTCTTCAGACTCTACCTCATCTGTCGCGTCATGCTGCTGCACTCGAAGCTGTTCACCGACGCCTCGTCGCGCAGCATAGGGGCCTTGAATCGTATTAACTTCAACACCAGATTCGTCCTCAAGACTCTGATGACCATCTGCCCGGGAACCGTGTTACTCGTCTTCATGGTCTCGTTATGGATCATCGCCTCGTGGACGTTGCGTCAGTGCGAGAGGTAAGTCCGCCAAACATTTCGCTATATAAGCCACTTTCAGCTCAATTCGCCCGCGTTAATCCGACAAATTGATAAATGCAACTTTTCCAACCGAGCAAATCGTCGAGTTGATAAGGGTTAATAAATGGCCGGATTAAACGATCGACGAGCCCGATGCAAACACGAAGATCTCCGCGATCAAGGTTCAAACGACAAAGGGAAGAGAGCACGGGGGTTGATTGTTAAAACGACAATGAAGGATTTACTATGACGTCGAGATTGCCGGGCGTCGTATAATTAAATTCTCTTGTAAATAGCGGCGCCGATTTAGGAAATCGTAAAGGGCATGGAAACGATCAATCTTGCTAAGCCAATATAAGAGCACGGAGCCTCGAGATTTTCTTTTTTTATTCTTCTCGTTGCTCTCGATAAAACCTTCCTTCGGGTTTCTCTTCTCTCTCTCTCTCTCTCTCTCTCTCTCTCTCTCTCTCCGATGAATAGACCCCTCTTCCGGTCTTCTGCCCTTAAATAAGACGGTCACCCGCTCCTCTTCCTCTATATTTCGCTCGTCTCTGCATCCGACCAAGAGAAGGAGGGTTAAATTTTTGTCCACGTACGTATTGTCGAGGCTCTCCTCTGGCCCTTTGCCTCCACTTCCGGCAGTCCTCGCTGAAACTTCTCGATGCCTTCTGCTGAATCCCGATGGAATCTACCGAGAATTTATAACGCCGCTTCGACGAGCAGACGAGCCGGAAAGATTGCACGAGACTGATACAGGGGTGGAGCTAGACTATATAAATTTCATCTGTCTGTTTGGCGGAATGCTTATTAACCCTTTGCACTCGAAGGCTTTTTCGAAGCAGACTCCAAGCTTCTCTAGTATAAAATTGGTAACATTTTCCGCAACAACCTTCCAAAAATTTTTAAAAGGTATCAATCTTCGTAATTTTGCCGATCGATACTCGAGAGTTGCAAACAATCGTAGTTACCTGCTGTTGCAAAATTTCTGCAATTCCGTTTCATAAAATTCCACTCGCGAGAAGTTCGACAGCGTTGCGCAAAATGGCGACATCCGCGAGGGACACGTTGAAACGTTTATTCGATCGTTAAGCTGTGCTTTGACGAAAACGAAGAAGCGGAAAAATTAGAAAGAAATAAGCAGTCTCGTAGCTTTGCACAAGACCTACATCTGCATAATCTCGTGATACAAAACAGGAGGAGAAGTCGGTGAAACTTGTTAAGGGACGTTCCCTCCTATCCCCATCTCTTTCGTGATACTTCTTTCTCCATTCCCGGTCATCTCGTTTCCCCAAAGCCCTCGTTTTTCTCGGAATTAGAATTTTAGACGCGAGAGCCGAGGTACCCGCTCCAGGAAGTAGGATCCTTCCCTGGAGAACCAGCGATTCGCGTGTGAGGAGAGCTCGGTCGGAAGCTTCCTGCATCTCTTTATTCTCGTGCGTGGAAAACGACGATAGAGTCGGGCCGTATTTTACCAAGATCACCGGTCGACGTGGCTGCAAAGTTCGAGGGATGCTGGGGAATTTGTTGCGAAACAGCGGCACGTTGCATCGAAGGAGGCGAGAATTAGATTTATGTCGACTATCCTTTAACGCGGCCAACGCCGCGGCGAAATTAACTTACATCACTTGTGGATTGCACTGATTTCTTTTAACGAAACGGTAAAATTCCTCGAGTTCTTGGTCACGTTTATACAGTCGGACTTTATTTTATTACGCTATTTCCGTTTCCACGAGAACCCTTTCAATTGTACTTTTAACTTTGATTTCAATTCGATTAGTACAGGAAATAGTAGCAACGAAACACCTGCATTTAGAGCAGAATTCGTATGGAACGTGTCTTTCGTATTATGCAAGGGTCTAATACACAGTCCTTGGTACCAAATGTCCACCATCCACCTGTCCGACGTTCGATATGTTAAAATGACGAAATTGGTGTCTGGTAATGGATGCAGTGGATCAGATCGATTCTCTTCGACGCTCCTCGCCATTGTCATCAGCACCCACGGCAGGTTTTCGTTTTAGGACATTTATCTCCGGCGTTATCATATTTTTTCGTCGGGTAATCCAGCAGATCGCACCCCTACCCCCTCGTTTCATGACGTCGGCTGTCTTATCTAACGCGTTAACGTTCTTTGATGCCTTTAACGATGCGGCACATTACGACCAATAGCGTGTCACCCTCGAATCACCTTTCTCGAGTTCTCGAGATTATCCTCGTCTATCGTCCTTTGGATTACTCGTGTTTACCGTCGCACGTTTTACGATTAACTCTTACGACGTCCACCGGGGATATTTTCCACGGATAATTTTTACTTTATGGCACGCTGTAAACGTCTGCAAAGCGCGATGTCTTTAAATGCAGCCGAATCTCAAAGGAAAAGCACGAGTCGTAGAAGTTTCTTCGAGTTGTAGGTTTCTGATCCAACTCTGGCAAATTCTTCCATGGTCCTTGACTCGGTGTAGCAGCAAGTCGGCGAGGCAAGGTACCGCCGAATGTATACGACATTACGGTACCCGAAAGTTCCACCCTCTGCCATCCTCCGCCATTTTCCCTCCGTTTCAATTATTTCGCGAGGAAACCGCACACTTTCGGCGGTAACATCGCCGTAACCCAATTACGTGTCTTAGTAACGGGGCTAATTAAAAAGGGTACAGCAATTGATAAAGTATACGGCGTGGAATTACGTTTAATGGCGTTCGAGCGCGTTACGGTGAATAAAGAGGAAGGAGACGCGTTGGCAGAAGTTACGATCGTTCGGCAAGGATGAGCTAGAATCTTAACACTTTACCGACCGGTAGCGGGTCAACATCCTATGCCCTTCTCACCGGCCACTTAGTCGCAGATCTTCCCTGGCACCGGCTCTGTTTCTGCTTACAATCAGACTGTCGCGCGGAAATATATGTAATGTGGGAATATTACAATATTTAAAAATTTTATAAAAATATGGGAGCTTACAAAGTAAAGCAACTAGTATCTCAATACGAAGTAACAAATGCTTGCTAATTGCCATGGTAACCGATTAATCGGCCACCGGTCGGTGAGCGTTGGGGACAAAAAGCCGATTAATCGGCTACCGGTCGATAAAGTGTTAACACGTTGAACGCCACGCTGGTTTTACGTGCCCTCCCGTTCGCGCCATAGTTAGCCGTCACGCGGGCCCTTCTGGGCCGTACGGACCGGTGAGGCCTGAACGGAAAGCCTAGGGACCGACGTGGCGTCTAACGTGTTTAAAGATTCCTAGCGAGGCGTGGTAAGCGTTTGATCCGCAAACCGGAAGAGTCGTGTCTCCGCGTCGATTAAAAATATGTCAAGCACAAACGCGTGGCAGACGTCTGATAATCGCGCGTTCTGTAAGAGGAACGCGCGCGTTATTCGCTTCCGTTTCACCTTCCGGAAGCGACGCGTCTTTTGTTTGTACTCGGCGAGCTTGCAGCCGCGACTCTCGTTCAGCCGCTACAATGGAACCTCGCTTTTTATTCGCTTTGCCTTCCGCGAGTGTATACAAAGCACTTGCACTGGTGAAACGGACCGATTAACCGGCTAATGAGCGTGTAAAGACGCCATTTATAGCGAAAACCGAGACGCGGTCATGCGTGGGTTTATAAATTCGTGGCGATCGAAGTAGAGATCCGCGAGACCGGTTCAAACGCCGTGTCAAAGTCAGCCGGGATCGAGCTTCTGACAAGCTGTAAAAGGGACCTCGCGCTAAAGAGAATCCGTTGTAACGCAAGCTGTCCCATTAGAACGGCGCGGTTTAACGAGCGGGATTAGTCGACGCGCGTGTTATTTTGATGTCCCGACCGGTTTAACGATTTCCGATAATGAATTTCGTCAACTGGACGAGGAAGAAAAGGCCTCGTTTACCGGTGCACGCATTCGTAACGAAGCTGCATCGGGATGCAGAACGCTGGAATTATCATAACAGGGACTCGCGTCGTTAATCTTTCGATTTCTCCTCCTCCAGCTGCGAGTTCGTTCTGGGAAACGCATACGTAATGATTTTTGATTCGCTCCCTTGTCATGTAAATCGCGCGTGTGCATGTGTCAGGGTTAGGTTTGACAATTCGAGAAACGAGGAATTAAACGATTAAGTGATCCAAATTGATCGTGGAAAGGACAATCGTGAATCTCCTATAAAGGTTCGTTTCGTGGTTTTAGAAGGTGAGACTGAAAGAGGGTTGTAAGGGGAAAAATAAGGGTTGAGCTTTCCGACTCGATGTTCTTTTAATTCTTCTAACTTTTAACCTTGAAGTCTGAACTTTGTTCGATTAACGATTATATTCCTTGTATTGTACAAGGTTGTTGACCAGGAACCAGTGAGAATAGAGCGTTGAAGAGTAAATACGATGCAAGTATCGTATTTAACCGTGTTCCGAGAGAAAGAAAGTTCTTTGAAAAGTAGTTTCCGAGTGTCGACTGAATTGTCCTCGCTATGGAAATTGTTTATGCGTACAGTCGCGATCAATCATGTCACTCTAAATGTCAACCATGATCGTCGAGAAACTCTGCGACGAACTATTAAACGTCAAATTAAACATCCTTACACATCGAGTATAAGTGTGTTTTAAGGTCTATACGCGCGCGAATGACGGCAGGAAAGTATAGCAAGGTGTAATTTATCAAGCGAAAGAAAGAAAGGCAGACAGCGTAGGTGGAAGTAGATTAAGTCCGTCTATGGTCAGACGCGTCCGACTCGCGAGACTTTGATAACTACCGCGATCTTCTGCCCACGTTTCTTCCTGTTCCGAGTTTATCGAAATTATTTGCTTACTAACGGCTTGAAAAACATGTCCGAGCAACTTGGCGCGATATTTCTAACCTTTCCCGGGCTATAGTGGGATAAAAAGTTCCGCCTTTTCGGTACTTCCGTATGCACAGCAGTTTTCCACTGTGCTTTCTCGCCTTAATTATAAATGTAAATACTAAAGTAACTCGAAACACAGTAATTTGCATTCCACAGACTTGGTTTTGATATAAATACGAGTCACACGGAAGGTGTACGCAACTCATTTAGAATAGTTGCAAACTTTATTAAAATTTCCACGAATTTACTGTGTTTCTTTTTATCGCTGAAATTTAAACACCCAAAGGCAGAATTTAATTCTTCGCGACTGTAATAGAGAATTGCTTCGCGGATAATTTCCTGTTGCCCATGAATATCTGTTTCAAAGATGTGGGTTGGAGCGAAATTTCCCTGTCGCGATATGGAATAACTAATGGAACGTTTAATCGACGAGAAACACGATCATTTGCCGGAGAGTCTGAAGAACGTCAACTAATATTTTACCCTGTTTTCCGTTCTGCGGCGGCAGGTTTCACGACGAGGAGCACGCGAATCTCCTTAATGCTATGTGGCTCATTGCTATCACGTTTCTGAGCGTCGGTTTCGGTGACATTGTGCCCAACACGTACTGCGGTCGAGGTATAGCCGTTTCCACTGGAATAATGGTAAGACCAAGATCCAAAGTTTAATATAGAAATTCTCGCGAGATTTGCATGCACCTTTCGCGCCCCTTTAAACACATTCAACTTTCCAATCTTTCACAGCTCTCGTTATTGAATCTCGGATTAATTTCCACTATCCCGTAAAAAGAATGTCGGGAAACGTACTACCTGAACCAATTGTAATTAATGGACACATTCGATTCTGGCAGAATTCGCAAATAATAATTGGAAACACCGAACGTCCCGAATTTTCAACCCCTTTCAGGCAATTATGACAAAGAGACGCGGGGAAATCCCGCAGAAATCCCCCCTAAACATATTCAACGGAAAATTCAGCATGTTTCGAGGATACAGAAGGCGAGACCAAGTGTTATCGATCGCAGCATCGCGCCAAGTGCAGTTACGATGCATTCTGAGCGACACTTTGTGACGATAAACGCGACAGCCGGTATAATCTCTCCATTGGGGATGCGCCTGGTTCCTTATTGTTACTGTCTCTCTGTTCCTGATGTTAATTCACCGAATTGGGAGGCTCGTAGCCGCGAATCGTTAACCAATTTGGTCGTCGTGGCCAATTTCCCGTGAAATTTCTCTTGACAAACGCTTTCGATGCGCTAGACGTTCCAGCGGAGCTCGCGCTTATCGCCTTGGTCCTCGTTTCCCTCTACCGGGTGGTTCTATCGAATTAATCGACCCGCGAGGACAATTTCGCGGCTTAAACGAATTTATGGAAAACGTTTATACTTAATTCCCGTACCAATCAGCGTATTGGCCTCGCGAAAAGAGCCAAGACTGGCCATTTTCCGACACCTAAACCTAATTTCCGTGAGACATAGAATTCTTTCGAGGTCTCCGCGTACGATTCCCAGGAATGGTTACAGTGTCGTGGCTGGAACAAATGTACGGAAGAAATTCGCGACACGGTACCCCTGACGAATCAGCTACTCTCGGAGAATCATCCCCGAGGAAAATGGAGGAGACCGCGGCGATATTGCCGGTTCGTGGCCCGAATTTTGCCAGTGAATCGGTTCTCTGCCACGTCCGCCACGTCCCCCAGGTCTCGAGGAGAACAGATTACGCGTGCAACGAAAGCGAATAAAGGGGGGTCGATACCGCGAAGCGAATACAATTCCACGCGACGACAAACGACGGAAAAGTTTGCCCCTAATCGGGGCGAAATACCCGGTGTTCGCGTTTGGAATTCGTTATTGGTCACGTGGGAAGTTCGTCAACGCGCGGAGAGGAATTCCTGTCGGCCATCAGAGAGGTGAAGGCCTCTGGTGCCGCGACGCGGGACTAACTTCGCGATGGTAACCTCGAATGTGAGACACGCGACATTCGATGAGCCATGAAATTTTATCCACTTACCGCTGTAGACTTTGCTCCCAGAGGAACTTCCTCTGCCTGAGGAAACAGTCGCTTTGGAAACCTTTTATCGGATAAAAATCCATCGCCGCGGTGTCGTTGGTTGGCAAACAGACGCAAACCTGAGACAGTCGAATGAAAGGCCTTGGAATTCGACTCGCTTTGAGTCCGTGGGTACTCGATGAAGTTCCACGCTGAGAAGAAGTAATTTTCTCGGAGAAGTCTCTGCCATGGGAAACGCGGAGTCCTTATAAAATTGTCGCGCTGCTGGGGGTTGAAAAGATTCGGAAACCTGTGATGCAACGCGAGCCCTTTGATCGAGAAGGTATCGGTAACTTAAATAATTTTCTCCGATGCAGTGAATTACGGTTAAGTTAAAAACTACCGTCTCTTCGAGATCGAGAGGAAATATTGGTAGTACAAAGGACGCATCTTTGTGAATTTATTTCCTGCGTAGATTTCCGATTTTTCTTTTCCATCCTTTCAGCCGTAACGGCGGCTGCGAAGATTCTGCGAAATTAATTTGTACTTAACGAGAGCTGGTGATTCCGTAACCGAAGGTAAAGTGCATAGTTTCCAGTTCACAGGTATGTTTCGTGATGTTTTAGGGCGCCGGATGCACGGCCTTGCTGGTGGCGGTCGTTTCCCGGAAGCTGGAGCTCACCAGGGCGGAGAAGCACGTTCATAACTTTATGATGGATACGCAATTAACGAAAAGGGTAAGACGCATCTGCTCCTACCGTCTCGTGGGATTCGCATACGTGGATATAGATTTGCATATCGATGCTTCTTGTAACACTAAATGGGAGATTTCGAGAACAACTTTAGAATCCTTGCTGTTGGAATTGTTTTCAGAGAAATCGACGAGATTAGTTCTCTAGAGTTCGGAGATTGCCACGGTACAAGCGAAGGGGTTGCTTTGGGAAGCTGTTCGTTTATTTGTGAATAAATCGAGTTTGAAATTGAAGAAAGTAATTTTTTTGTTTATCCGTAAACGTTAGTATTCCTTAAGATAAAGTTTATTACAAATTTTTAATGTAAGAACGAGGAAGATAGATATGTCGGAATTCGATATGGACAATTTCGAGCATGGTGTAACCTTTGAGACTATGCGACATTTACAGATCTCGAAGATTCGATTTATTTCAAATTTCTTAAACGGTATTCATATGTGACGACTGTACATCGAACTCTGCTTCGTCGCTGGGGTTCCCGAATGTTGTTGTTTGTTAAATTTTGTATGTTCAAAGCAAGACCTTACAACTTTACCTATGCCTGTAAGGCTAGAAGTTAGCAATTTAACAAGTCAAGTTGCACAGTTTAATTTTACCTAGCGGAATTTTTAAAGATCGATACACCATCGTTAGAATGACGTTTAATATATACTTGGCCGCTTTGCTTTACGTTCTCGGGACTTTAAAGAAGAAATTCAATAATGTCCATCTCCTATAATTTTCTCACGCATTCAGCCTTTGAATTTTCAATCGAGTTCCTCGACAATTTTAATTTTCCAACAATAAAGTTTTTCATTATAATTTCAAGATAAGATCCGACTTTGATATTCTTAGACATAAACATTAGAAACTATTATTTCGAAAGTAAAACTTGCTAATCGCTGTATCGCTGAATTTTCTAAATTTCTACGAAGAAATTGAAAAAAAATTATGTCTAAAAATTAAAATTATTAATAAATTAGAGGCGATGGTTGTCAGGAAAATATGTAAAACGAAAACGTGGGAATGACAGCTAGAGCTGTCCCGGTATCAATCTCCATGACGCAAATGAAGAAAATTAAAACAACTCCGTCCAGCAGTCGACACGTGAAATTTCTACTTTGCGCGTCAAAAAGCGCTGAACACGAGAAAATCTCGGATTCGCGACAGTTTCGATATCCAGCACGATATCTCGACGTTGACCGACGCGAATCTCCCGCAACGAGAGAAGCGCCGCTCGTGTTTCCCTGCCGGACGCGAAACGACCAGGTCGTCTAATGTGTCATTGTCGTTTCTATCCGTTCTTGATGGTCAGCTTGCGTCGGGATCGATCGGCCAGCTCGCGTCGTTCCTTGGACAAGGAAATCGCATCTTAAAAGGCAAGGACTGCATCTCGACCTTCTGCACCCCTTCGCGGAAACACGTGAAAAATGAGAAAGAGAAGTGCGAGACCAGAAGCCTGACCTGAAACATCGATCGGCCATTTTGGAAGTCTCGTATTTGTCATTTAAAACTTTTAACCGTAACAATTTAAACAATTTAAAGGGCATTATGCTCCATTTCCGCTACTTCGATCTTCTAACCGAAGAATTATCTTATACTTATCGAAAGCATGCTCCAAAGGCAGGGAAAATTCGCGAAAACGAAGCATAAATATCGGTCGTGCCTATAATAAATGAGACATGTCACAACTCGCACTAGGAATATCATAATTAAGCAATAGGGAACTCAAAGATGGATGTTCCTCGATAATGAATAATTTGAACGAAAATTGATTTTATTGAACACTATGGCTGCTACGAAGAGGAATGTCTGGAAACATTATGCCACCATGACGACGATAAAGTAAAATAAAGCGATTCTAAATGGCAATTAAAAATGTTTTACAGCGAATTCACGACCGAAGTAATTCAACGTTCGTCGGAATACGAAAATTAATGTTTGCTCGGACTCGTAAAGAAAGTTAAAGAATTATTTCATGTTCAAACTCGAAGTGATCGAGACAGAAAATGTTCACCTCCCGCCACGAGTTTCTCCCTCTGGCGCATTGTGTAACCATTTTCCAATGACGAGTTAACTCGTCAGCCGCGGTTAAAGGGTGAATCGATGAATCTCACGTCTCTCGAGTTTCAAGGGAACCCCGGGACCTTGATGAGCCAATTAATGGAGGAGTATATTTCGAGCGTTTATGAAGTATTCAGGCTTGTCGCAGTCGACAAACGGCATGTGAACGACAGCCGTCTCGTAACCTGCCTCTGGATCGAAGACTTTAGCCGCAGCCACTGAATTAACTAATAGCCGGTGATATCTATAAGCCACGAGGAAATATTAAGAAGCAACGACGATAGTCGCGGTTACGTGAAATCGGATGAGGAAAAATTCGCGACACGCCCTTCCAGGTAAAATCGCGATTCGACGTGGCCTGGGGAACCGCGATCCCGTTGTTTCCGCGATAACTCTGCTGCCCCCACCAGTCGTCGAGATAAACACCCCTTGATCGCTACCCAGCGATTATTGGACGTCTCTGAAATTGCAGCCTTCCAGCCCGCTTTATCGCAACTTCGATATATTGGATTCTTGTCCAATTAACCATGGACAAGGGAAATTCCGAGGGAAGTAGGTGTACAACGTTTTTCCAGTTTCCCTTCTTCGTTTCCACGGGGAACGCTGTACGCTGCGTGCCTCGTGTTCAGTTGCACGGAGATTGAAGAATCTCCATTCGAACGCGACGATTAACTCGATCACTTTTGTAACCCTTTCGTGCATTAATGGAAAATATACGAAAAATTAAAACAATCGATTAGAATTAATCTCTATCGGTGAAATTGACAAGATCTATTTCATCCTCGTCGCAAAAGAGGGATGCTAAGTAGGATTGTAGAAATTCGAAGAATTATAATTGGTTAATTCAAAGTGTAATTTAACCTCTGCTAACCTGATTTTATAATCCCTGCTTTATTCCCCGAGTTTACGCGACTTTTAACCAATTTGCTGTCAAACGATTCGATGCTCAAGGAGTCGAGGAATTATGAATACGTTCTCGTTCTTCGTCTGTCAATTTGTCAACTACGAAGTTGGTAGAAACGTAAGAGCACGGAATCGAAAGGGGATAAGGAAGCTGTTAGTGGGACACGAGTAACGAGACCTGTTCTGTTCCAGTTGAAAAACGCCGCGGCGAACGTGTTGCGCGAGACATGGCTAATTTACAAGCACACCCGTCTGGTGAAGCGCGTGAATCCGGGACGTGTCCGAACGCATCAGCGGAAATTTCTGTTGGCTATATACGCGTAAGTCGATTCACACGTGACTACTTTGATTGGCATCCGTGACACGGATCCCGTGAAACGGTGTATGATTAACATCCTCATCCGTAATAACGAACTTTTCAGGCTCAGGAAAGTCAAAATGGATCAGCGAAAATTAATGGACAATGCCAACACCATCACGGATATGGCCAAGGTACCGCGCAACTAGCTTAGAATCCAATTAAACTTGCTTGCCATGGTTTGTCGATGAATCTCATCGCATCGATCGACCAGCTTTTGTCCTCGCGAACAAACGCTTCGTTTGCCAAACCTCTATCATCCATCGTGACGCAAAAAATATTGTTTTCCGGCTGGATCATCCAACTTCGTTGTTCGTTAATTATCATTCGTTAAAATTTCCAATTGTTCGCTTTATCGCGAGTCAGATACATTTACGATGCCTGATAGCGACGATTCTGGTCGCTTTAGCTCGTTTCACTAGCCACCCATCGGCACCATCGTAGAGTTTCGTAGAGTTTCGCACGAACTTGAGACCCAGCCAATATCTCAGTCCTGGCGTAGTTACATTGGCTACATTAACTTCAGTTTTTGCGAAGCGAAGCTTCCTAAGACGCGGCAATGCGAGTTGATTAATCGGAATTGGAATTGGAGTAAGACGAAATGTGAAACGCGGGAAGGGTTTCCACTGTTCGGTATACGTTACTTAACAGCAAATTCGCGTTTGGAGAGACAAAAAAGAGCAGTCTCGGTTCGGGTGAACCGATCAGTGACTGGCAATCGGTAAAGGGTGGCAACTGCGTTTCACGTTTTCGTTTCATTCTCAATTCGATCATCGAGTTTCGCTTGCAACGCACGTAGCGACCACTAAGCAATATTTCCTTTTTAATACCTAAACTGTTCCTTGTCCGATTATATCCTCTACGGTGTAAGAGATGCAATTTAACTGTAACTTCTCTCATCCTGCAAACAGACGCAGAACACGGTGTACGAGATCGTGTCAGACATGAGCACGCGTCAGGACGCATTGGAGGAACGTCTGGTAGGCCTGGAGGACCGGCTGATCGGCCTAGAAGAGAAACTGACCGGCCTGCAGGCCCAGCTGGAGCTGCTACCGGAGGAGCTGACCAGGTGTCTGGCCCAGCACGCGGAACGCATGGAACAAAGGCGGAACTTCCTTCATCCTGACACCGCGGTCGCGATGGCAACGGCTGGTGGCGGCGGTGGTGGTGCCGGTGGCGGTGGCAGTGGTGGCGGTGGTAGTGGCGGCGGTGGCGGTGGCGGGGTCTCCCCCGGAAACAACCTGATGATGGCCATCTCCGTGTCGGCTCATCATCCTCTGGCCAATCTGTCGAACTCGCTGCCACACTCGAGGAGCGTGCCAAGCGCGCCCAGCACCACGTCCCTGCACCCATGGCCGGCCAGTTCGATCCTGCCGCCAGTCTCGAGTCGTACGCCTCACCTGGTGCCGGAAACCGGAAGGCATCACAGTCTGGCACATTCCACGGTAGCCACGACCACGACCTCGCAGTCGGCCACCAGGCTCACCTCGCAATCTGGAATGGGAGGGCTGGGCAACAGTCAGGGGTCCGACACGTCTCCACACAGCTGAGTCTCGTCTTTGCAGCCGCAGCACTCTTATTAAAAGGTCGTCAACTATAGTGTTCGATGACCTGAACGACGCTCGCGTACCTTCGAGTCCCTCGCCACCGCGAACTGGTTCTCTAGGCTCTCTGTCGGTAATCTCTGTCTCTCTGTCCGTTGCTAAACTCTGTCGGGGATAGGAAGCTTCTTCAGGTCCATCTTCAGGTGTACTGTGAATTCGTTGACCAGTGTTCGCGGGCCTGACGATCGAGTAGCGTTCGATGGTTTGAAGTGGTTCAAAGCGGTTTAGAGTCGGCCTGGCCGTGCGGCGGCGATGCGTCTAGTCGTTAGGTGCTCTCTACAGTGTATATATAGCGTATTTCGTTAACGGGTTAGGCCATTGCGCCAAGTTTCGGTTATTCCTTTCTTCGAGTTACGTTTCGCGATTTCAACGACGTTCGCAGGGGGTTGAGAAGTATGACGATGCGAAGAGACCCGGTGGGGAAAGTGAACGAGTGCCCCATTCGCGCGCAGACTGCCTAAAGCTTCGAACCGAGTCCGGATGTTACTCGCTACGCGTCTCTCTACGTCTGAATCTCTCCTAATTTAGACATCGATTTCCTTTCATTACGTTCGATGGATACGTAACAGCGGCAGGTAGCGGAAGATTTTCACCGAGCCAAGTAATCAAGCCTCGCGGCCACCGTCGACTAAGATGACTCGCCTACTTTTATACCCGCAGATAAAACGAAAGTCTTGCAGTAGCATCAACAACGGGTCCAATCCTCTTCCCGATTGACTGTGTCTTCTTACTTAAAAAGGATAAAAAATGCCGAAAAAAGGAACACGCGTACACGTACACTTGCAGACACACACGTACACACACGCACACGCACACGTGAGAACACGCATATACGAGGAGTAAGATCGATCCATAGTTTCGTGGTTAGAGATTCACAGAGGTGCGCGTGAACGAAAGGGAGGGACTCACGGGCGCGAGCGTCCTCTTCCAATTGCTGCGAGCTGCTCCCCTGCCCAACTTGCGTGCCTGAAAACTTTTTTCTTAATATTTAAATATATATTCGACACACACGAACTCCATCTTATCTCTGTATACCTCGTGAATGGGAAAAAAAGACGAAAAAGGTGGAAAGGAAGGAAGAAAAGAAAGAGGAAAAAGAACAAGGAACACGGACAGGCACACGGTGTGTTGAACGTTTTACGCGTGAAGGAGGAACGCGTGTACGTCTCCCCTCGACGAGGACAAAGGTGGCTCTTTAGCTGGACGAGCGCACAGCGAACTTCACATTCGAACGTTTTCACGCGATTATAAGGGAGATATAAGTCGTTTTAAGGTGGAAATACGCGGCACTGTGTTCGTCATGCGAAATCTTCGTTTCGCTTCGGGTCGCGTGCTAGGGGGTGAAGAGATAGCGTGGAATATTTTACGAATATTTTAAACGATCACGCGTAATGAGTTTCCAAACGACATTTTTTAATCGTTTCGATTCGGCAACGAATCGCCTGGCACACGTTGCTCCACTTATCTCGTTATCTTCTCCTCTACGCGAGCTGATTCTTGCGTTTCCTTCTCACGCAGGAGGACACCGTGAAAGACCTTGTATAATTTCTTCGGAGCTGTGATTAACGTAACGTCGGAAGCTTGTAAGGTACAATCACTTGATGACCCAAACGATCTTATATTTAATTATCTGCCCCGCAAAATGAAAATTTCCGAAAGAGATTCCCGAGACTTATCAGACGTCTCGTAAATCGAGAAAGATTTATAGCGAACCACTTATCTTTAAAGGGAAAAAGAAAATTCAGATTGGTCATTTACACCCTCCCATTCTTTCCTCCTTTAGCACTATAACTACCAATCGATAACGGGTAGTCGAATATATTATGCGCGAGTAATAATAATTATGGCGGTATGAGGAATATAGATACATAGTTACGTATAATCGTGTTTCTATCTCGAATGAAAATTACCCTTAATTTCGTTAAAAAATATCTGGAACTTCTCTGGTAGTTCTAGTGTTAAGATAAATAAACGACAGCATCCGGTGATTGTACTACGTGATATACCTTCTAAAATACTACCGAACACGAACAGAGGAAAAGAAAGAAGAAAGACCGGGTCGATCTATATGAACAGAGAGGTCAATCGAGGACGAGGTCTTCGTTGTCACCGCACCCCCGAGTCGAATCACGCTGGACGAGCTTGAAGGGCCACCGAGAGACCACGAAGCAAATGTCCGGGGCCGATGGAGGGAGAACGCAAAGTGATCTTATCCGCTTTAACGTCCGTAGGTTACATAGGATATTATATTGTTAGCGTATACAAAGTGTATGTACATGGCGCACGGGTACAAAGGCTACGTTTCCATCGAAGGGGGAAATTTCTTTCTTTTTTTTTTTTTTTTTTTTTTAAAAAACAGTGTCACGCGTGTGTGGACGATGGTCCATCGTAAATATTGATTTTATCGAAAATTGCTGTCCACGAAAACGCTGCAGCTCAAAGGGGATGCATGATGATGTAACGCCGCCTCGAAGGGACGGTTACACGGATCCAAGAGGGAAGTTGTTTCTTTGGAAAAAATTTATTTTTGCAACGGAGACCGCAGGGGATTATAGCAACCGCCGGTTGATACAAATTCGATGGCGTGTGTGAGAAATTATGCGACCCTCGGACGACCTTGACCCAACTTCCTATACCTTGGACCACTTTACCGATGGTTTCGATTCTTTTAGGTATTCGAACGTTGGCGTCCATAGATACGCCGTTCGATAATTGCGCGATCAGAAATTTTTAATTGGAACATTCTTTCGAATGCACTTTCGAAATTATTTGGAATTTATTAACCCTTTGCGGACGAATGTCACGATACATGCGTAATACTCCTACTAAAATGATATAAAATAAGTTTATAATCTTCCTCGATGTTATGGATACCTTTTTATTTTACAAATTTGCCGTAGTCTGTTATTTCCAAAGATTTATTATACGTTTCGTTTACCATTATTTTCCTCCTGAATTGTAAAAAGTTAATTGGCAATGAAATTGGCTGTCAGAGAAACTGTCGCAAATGGATATTTATAAAATTGAATAATTACCTGGACCATCCGTACACCCACTGAAAACCATACGCAGACATAGTTTAATCGAACGATATACCAACAAACGAACCGTAACCAATTCTCGAAGGACACCTGCGACGAGACCGACTGAAACGTCACGTCGAACAGGAAACCCCTTTCTAAAAGCACCATAGTGTTCCTCGAAATACTCGATATCAAAGTACCAAAGCTACCAGAGGTAAACCCAGAAGCACGCCGGAGACGAGCAAAAATTCCAAGACCAAAGGATCTCTTACTACCCTCTCCCAATGGCGAGTACCATTTTATCGATTTATAACTTCCCGTCTACTTCGAGTGACCATTTCAGACGATCCCGGAAGGCAGACGTCCTTCTTCTTCGCGTGTATGCACGGCGCGCGACCGTGAAAGCTTTACGGGGCCGAACGGAAGTTCACGCGGCCGCCGGTCGACCTTATCGCGGTAAATCCGTCGGGGGTGGCCGGTGCATCCGGTCGCGTGACATCCGACCGACTCTAGGGTAGGTTTGCGAATGCGATCACACCGGTATCTCCCGATACGGAAACGTACCGGACGCGTTACGTCGGCGTATCGAGTTAATTACGTTAATTGATACTAAACGTTGACGTTGACTACGTGATCTGGGGGTGGGTTCGGGTCGGGAGGGGGGGGGAGGGGGCAGGACGAGTACGTTAACGAGCTGCGTCAACGGAATTAATCGCGTCACGCGACGCGACGATTAATTTCTTCGACGCGATCTGCTCGTACGCGTTATATGCATACATACATATATATACATACTATATATACACGTACACACGCACACGTACAGACACACGAGGATACATACGGATATGCATACACAGAGACGACACTTGTTATTGATAACGTATTACGATATATATTCCGTGATGCATTGTTTCGTAATGTACTATTAATTTCGAGCGCGGCGAGCGAAGCGTCGTTACGTTGCACGCGCGCTCCGCGTGCAGAGATTCGTTCTATCCGACGCGATCAATCCCGAAGATGTTCAGACCTCCGAGAAACGTTGCGCACGTACGCGAGGACAAAGCGGAACAAAGAAGACAGAAAAGACGAAGGAAGGCGAGAAACGAGGCGAACGAGTAGACGACGAGAGAAGGACGATGATCGGGATGATATAAGTACATAAGCTCGAGGAAGAAACGCGGGGTGAAGGGCGAAAAGCCGAGGATCGAGATTTTTGGGGGCAGATCGGACAGAGGGTGTTCGGGGAGAAAGGAAAGGCGAAAGAATGGAGAGGAGCAGATCGATCCGGCGAAAAGGAAAGGGGTCGCATGGCTCTCCGGACCGTTTCTTGAAATTGGGCAAAGACGAGGAGAGAAAAAGAAAAACGCGCACACACTCATACACACCCCCGCGGAGGAACAAAGGGTAGTTTGTTAATCAACGACGAGAGAAGAAGCAGGCTTATTCTCTGCCCTCAGAAATGGTCGAGCGTTCGCTCCCGCGATAAACGTTGGGACCTGGTTTGTCTTGTCCGTCATTGTTTCATTTCGAAAGCGTTGTTTCGCGGCCACTCCGAAACGCGAAACGGGACCAAAGAAAAAAAAAAAAAAAAAAAAAAGACACAATTGTCACAAAACGTTCTCATTCCCCTTCTGTCTTCTATCCTCCTCTCTGGCTGCCTCCACCGAATCTCTCTCTCTCTCTCTCTCTCTCTCTCTCTCTCCAGCTCCAACGTTTCTCTCTTCTTCCCAGTCGACCCTGTGTTACCTCTATGGAAAACAACCCTCCGTCTCCCTCTCCCGGGTATTCTATCCACCCTGTATTCCCTGACCCCCGTGTACACGACAACCGTTCTCCCTATTTCTGTCTCTTTACCCTACTTCTCTGTCGCGGCTCAACGTACTGGACACGACAACTCCACACGATATTTTTATATAGATTTCTTAAAAGTGCATTATAGTGCCAGGAAGACCACGCCAAGTTAAAAGAAATGAAAAAAAAAAAATAATAAAAAGGTAAAATAAAAAACAC